AAGGAAGAAAAAAAAAAACATGGGCAAGGGAGCTAGGGGGTGATGTTAAAAAAGATGGGGAGGACATGGGAAGAGCTGCATGCAGTCGCAAAGGATCGAACAACTCGGCGTGAGTTGGTTGAGGCCTGTGCGCCACTGGGGGAGGGGGAATAGAAGACAGAAGAAGAATAAAAAAAAAAAGTTACATTTTTTATGAGAACCATTGTTATTTATATAATATGCTCAACAAGACTGCCATAGTTTTGAAAAAACAGTTCAGTGCTAAAGAGCACGTGTAAGCTCAGCTGGAGGTAGGCTTGTATTGTATAGTTGATATATTTATTTCTCCCGTGTATGGGGACTTATGAGACACCCTGCACTGTCAGGCATGTGACACATACGCACGCACACAGAGAGAGAGAGAGAGGCTTGTAGAGCTTGTTCTGTATGCCACTGACACTGTTCAGGGCAGAAGCATGTGGATGACAGTGAGATAGACAGATGTAAAGACATAGAAGGCGCCTCACTTGATGTCCTAGTTGTTAGACACAATCATGAACTGTAGGCCATATGTTTAACATTTATCAGCTATTGGTTCAGTTTTGCATAGACTTCTTATACGCTTCATTTTGATTAGGAGCTGTTTTTTTTTTATTTTTTTTATTCAAACGCATGGGTTCTTAGGTTGATCCAACTTAATATGTGTATGAGGAAATTTTATAGGAAGTAAAGGTGTACAGTATGGTGAATATCACCCACTCATTGTGTAGCAGTTGGTTGTTAAATGAATATGGAGGCATTATTATGGTATTGTGCTTACATGCCAAACAGAAGCTTTTATTGTATATTTCTGGTGTCAGTGTTATTTTCAAATAATATTAGTGACCTAGTATACCTGTAGGACATCCATCCTGACAGTCTGAAACCTTTGAGCATGTGTTTTTGGTGTGCAGGTGGTATTTTCAAATAATATTTGTGTAGATTAGTATTTCCCAAATGTTTCTAAGTCACAGTGCCTTTTTTAATTAAAATTTTTCCACAGCGCCCTAACATAATTAAAAGTATGACTTCGTATGTAAGAGATTTTAAACAATAAAACTCGTGTATTTTGAATATTTCGTGGCCCCCTGTGAAGAGGTCGCAGCTGCCCGGGACACTGCGGCACACAGTTTGGAAATCGCTGGTGTAGATGTTCCCATGTTATGTGTTCTTTTTTTTTTTTTTTTAATTATTATTTGTGTGTCTGCTTGAAATGGCAGCTTTAGTGGTAATCTTTTAGTTTAATTATAATTGTTATTGTCAAGGGACAGGAAAGACTGTAAATGTATAGTTGTTGATTGTTTCCCTCAGTTTAGTGGTTAATATGAGTGGTGTGGGTTGGAGGCAGTTAGATGATACTGCTTTTAGATGGAGTCTTGCCCTTGTGGATTTTTTAGCATCATTTTGGGTGGAAAATGAATAAGCACCACTAAGTACACGCGCACACACCTCCCCCAGTATGTCAGAAAAGGCAATTAATGAGGGGTTTGCTGGAACCGATTGCAACCTTTGACTGGGTGATGGAAAAACTGTGGTTTTGGCAACATCAGTATTTACTGGGTAAAGAACACACAGTTGAAAGATCTTAATTGTGCTGTTGATATTGTTCTATTAAGTTTCAAAAAAAAAATTAATGCAAAGAAAAACAGGTAATTTACTTGAACTGCAAATAAGACAAATATATTAAAGACACCAATAACTGATCAGACAGATGTAACACTAGAGATGAAAAGAATTAAATTTGCAGGTCAATCTACTTACTGAAGTAGGTATTTTAATAGTCAGGGAAATAAAGAAAGAAATTATGACAATCATTGGCATGGCACCTGCAGCTTTTAAAAGCCTGAGTAAAATATGTATAGTTTTAAAAAAGATACTGTTTTAAAATTCTGTTATTTCAGTTTTAACATTTGCCAGTGAAAGTTAGAGAACCACTAAAGACATGAACGAAAATGTAATGCTTTTGAAAACTAATGAGTGAGGAAAATGTTGAACATGAAGTGAGGCCAATTCAAGAGGGGTGAAGAAATCACAGAAATGTCTGGACAGCCAGCCACTAATGTCAACAGTTATAAGACAGAGAAGATGGTGCTATACTGGACACATTCTGAGTAGAAATGAGCAGATAATCACAAAACACATACTAAAGTGGGGGAGACAAAGGGATTGAGGAAGTGAGCTCATCCAAAAGAAACCCTCATCATGTTGATCAGAGAGGCCAAAGATGCTAGACTGGATTCCATACAAGATGCTGGACTGGATTACATACATAATGCCAGAGGGATTACAGGGGATTGGAGAGATACAGACTGTCAGCCTTATGCGACACGTAATGGTACAACAGGACAGTGAAGATAACTGTTGGGCCAAGAGGCACAGATACTACACTGTAGCTTTAAACCACAACACAGCGTGCCAGCTACCTTTTGCACTGCAAATTCAGCTGAGGAAGATGGTGGAGTCTTTGATGTGTTGTGGGTAGAGACGATAGCTGAGTTAAACAATAAGGTAGCAAAATTCAGCACACAACACTTTCTTAGCTAGATCTGCCATATCCCTCTAAAAAAGATTCTCTATCTTTCTCTCTCACTCTTCCTCCCCCCCCCCTCTCTCTCCCCCTCCCTCTCTCTCTTTCTCCCCCCCTCTTTCCCTTTCCCCCCTCCCCCCCCCCCCACTCCACTGCCACACACACACACACACACACATGTGTGCAGATGCACATGCTTATAGCTATGATTTGTATTGTTGCTTTGTGTCAAAATTGCTTTGCCCAGAAATATTGTGGTTTTTAGTTCTCTGATGTCGGCTGTTTGTTGACTGTAGCATGTACTGTTGCCAAGATTCAGTTTGCTTGTGAATGTCAATGAATGTTGTATGAATCTGTACATGTCTCATGGCTTTGTGGCTTTATAGACCTGGCTGAAGTCCTCAAGCTGTGATCAGCACCAGGCTGCCCCAGACTTTGTCCAATATGTTCTTTTATTTGTTTACATTTTATCAGAGAATACTTCAATACTTTCCCAGTAGGCACTGACCACTATGTACAACATTTAGTTTGTATGAAAGTTGTGGGAGTTTTTAAAAAACTTGTATGAAAATGTGAACAAAAGACATGAAACAAAAGATCTGTATTTCATCTTATAGAACAGGGCTATCTGTCTGTTCAACTGATTGTCTGAATCTGGTGCACATAGGCCTAGCAAGTGGCCTGCTGATGATTGCCAGTTGTAGTGATGATCTTTTTACACTGGGGCTTGGGCCCCTATTCATTAGGCATATTTTGTACACATTCACTGTTTTTGGTCTTCACATGGAATCCTCAGTTATGTTCTCCATGTATGTTCCATTTCTTCCTTGTGTGTGTTATGTTGTTTGCTTGTGATATCATCATCTATCAGCAGGTACTTTACAGAAGGTCACCATACTCCTGAAAGTCTCTCTTTCTCCAGCCCTGCCCTGTGTTTTTCATAGCCAATACATCTTCATTGCCTTGTATCCACCATCGTGGAGGTCTGGCTCTGCCTCATTTTCTGGGAACCGTACCCTTCATCACTGTTCTATCCAGACCACCATGTTTACCATGGGCAAAATACTTCAGGGTGCTATGATCATTTACATTAAAGCAGTGTTTCCCAAATTTTTCTTGGTCGCAGCGCCTTTCCACGGTTAAATTTTCCACGACGCCCTAACCTAATTAAAAGTATGACTATTTATGTCTTGGTTAAATGTATTATGAAGCTTTTACAATATTTTGTGGCGCCTTTGTGAAGAGGTCGCGGCTCCTCAGGTCGCCGCTGCGCACAATTTGAGAATCACTCCATTTGAGGATTTTATTTCCTCTCCAGCGATCTTGTGGACATCAGATATTCTCTTATTTATACATTGTGTGCTGGTCTATATCAGTAAACAAAAAAAAAGTACAGTGGCTTTACATATAACATGTATCGACTAGCTGACTCATCATCATTTCTGTGTCAGATGTTATGAATGAGACATGTACAGAACCTCACGGGTATTGAATAATGGTTAAGTTGACATTTTCCGTTGTATTTTTAGTATGTTATAAATTGTCGTTTCAGGCCATCCGCGTCTCGTTCTTCAAGGTCAGTGATATCTTCTATTCGGGGATCAGAAACAACACTGGACGAGCAAGGCTCTGACGATGGCCAGGAGGAGCAGCAGTCAGAGACGTGAGCGGGCTGAGTTTGAAGCTTCTGATCATCACAATAATGTTGACGTGCCCTGTTGTCTGCCTGGAACAGATGTCTGGGATTTGTGTGTATTTTTTTTTTCAAGTAATCTACATATGTTGTCATGACTTGTGGGCTAGCAGGGGGGGATTTCTCATTGTTGGAAACACCTGGTGGGAATATTAGCAGAAGGCTGGCCTAATCGGGTTTTTATGCAAATTTGGGATGATGCAAGAGCGCCCAGTTTATTTTTGCCTAACTTCTTTAAATGCCTCTGGTTTGTATTATTCTTGTCATAATGTAATGTACTCTTTGTTATGTAAAAAGGATCGGTTGCAGTGGGTAGGTAGGACATGTTCACTAACACACTGATGCTGTGGAAACTGTTATTTTGTCACCTGAGTCTATCTATGGACATGTGCTGTGAAAAGTGACATGTTCTCATTGTTGATTACTTTATTAATAGGATTTGCCACCATTAGTTTTCATTGTCATCCTTTTATAAAGCAATGCTGTATGGTGTAACTATGAGTCAACTCTAGTTGTGTTTGGGTGGGTTTTGTATTGTTCTCTTGCTTCTTTGCTTCTCAAGTAAATGCATTTGTGAAGTCCATAATGATCATGATGATGATAAGTGAACAATTTGAATGGATGAAGGAACTGAGCTAAAGTGAAACACCTTGCCGGCGGAGAAGAATGTATATAGTGAGTAACTGAATCTGTTTACTTTGTGTTCACTACCTTCCACTTTGTTCTTTTGAGCTGTGTTCATTGAGAATCCGAGGGAGGAGAATGACCGACACTGAACTGGCAGTTTTTGTGACGTCCTTCCCATTTGTTCCGATGTTGTTGCAGTCTGCTTCTGTTTGGTCTACTGTATGTCTTCAGTTTTACTGCTGTTTACACATCGTTACTGAATGTCCTTGTCAAAGCATTGTGATTCTGTCTGGTTCTGTGTCTGTAGTCAGGTCTGAATGGAGTACCCTGTTGTGTGTCTGCGTGTTTATATTCAGGTCTATACAACAGTACTTGTCACCACTAATCAAGAGTTCTGTCGTTTATAGTTTTGTGTTTTTATATCCAGTGGTTAACATGATGCTTTTTTTTTTCTTTCACCACATGTAAGGGTATGTACTAGTTTATGGCTCAAGTGCATTATATTATAAACATAGTGTCCAAGGTGTTTGTTGTCCTCACATTTAGTTTCTTAGATTTGTGAGCTCAGTTTTATTTTATGAAGAAACAAAAAGACACATGAAACATATGCAGTTTGTTAACTCTTCCCAGCTCAAAGCAACATATGATTGTGTGACTGGCACTTTCTTATGAATCCCAAATGTCACATAATGTGTTTTCTTACTTCTTACATTTGGTCAGAGGCAGTAGAGAAAATCTGGCCTCTCCAGTGGTCACCCCCATTATTTGTTGTATTTAGCCTAGGATGACCATATCATCGGGACCGTGGGGTGGATACTGAAGGAAAAGTCCATTGTCCCAGTTGACATTGAGTTATCGGTGGGGCAGTGTGGGTCTGCCCTCATTTAGCCTCTTAGCAAGTCAAGCACCCATGGCTTGTCAGGATGGTTATTTTCCTTGTGGTCATTGTTGACCGGGACGCATAGAGTTAACAGAGCATCATCAGAAATATTGGTGTTTACATCACAAGTATAAACATTCAGGCATTAAAGATCTTCAAAAGCTCTGCTCATTCAAACTATTTTGTTTTTGTTTTAGGGAGATATTTTTTTAGCTGTCAGTAAATTGTAGACAGTGGCCACACGTACCACTTTGTTGATTCCTTTTTGAACACACTCATTCCAATACAAGACATATGTAATTGTTTCAATATTGTGTTTGATACTGTGTGTGCCTTGTTGACTGCATGGGGCAATCTGATGTTTTCTTGTGCTGGTTGTTCTGCGTGCGGGGTCTCTCACCCGAGCGAGCCTGTCCTCCAGGTGCATTGTCATATCAGGCATTGCATGTATTGGGCAGAGTTTCTGTACAGGTTTTCTTGGTTGACCTGTCTGTAACTAAAACATTACAGTATCAATGTTGAGATGGTTAAAGACCCCAGCACTAGGTCGACACACACACACTCTGCCTGCTGATCTGCTCCACGTGCCGCCCATCTTGAAAGCATATATTATATATTCTAGTTTGTTTACTCATATTGTTATTACATGAACATAATGAAAAAGTAATCAATTTTTATTGCAAGTTAATGCTTTTCTGTGGGAGCAAATATTCCCTGTACTTCATATACTCACCTATACGCATTAATAGTTCAGATTGCGGGCAATGTATTCCCCTTGGTTAATTCACCTGCCGAAGGTTGTTACCAGATATATTAGTGCAGTTGTTTCCCTTTGACTTAGTAGCACCCATGGTCTCAGGTGTGTCTCATTCAGCCTCTTGTAGAGGGGTTGTCCCTTTGAGGCTTTCATAGAGTGATTATCTCACACAGACTGATAAAAATGATTATCTCTCTTGAGTCTCTGATGGAGTGATTGTCTTATGCTACTGGCGTGGTTGCCTGAACCTCTGATTGAGCAATTGCCTCATTCAGTGGTGAGGTTTGACAATGAGGTGTACTATTGTCTCATTCAGCCTCGAACTAACAGAAGCTAGCAGCGATGGGGAGATGGCTAATCTGATAATTCAGTGATCAGTCTCACCATGTAGAGTTTCCTTCTGCCTCACATTTCTAGGAAAGAACATAATGAGACCAGGGACACTGGCCGGCTGACTGGCTGAAAATATTTTTAGTTTCCTTTGAAGATTTCAGATGGTTATGAAGTCTGATGTGTCGACTATTGATTCTAGTTGAAAGATAATACTGCGTCATTTGGTGGAAAGGCCGCTTCCTTATGACTTTGCTGGAATATTGCTTAAGGTGCCCAGTGCACAACATCACTGATCCTGTCAGTCTGTTCCACTGTAGTTTCAGGCTAGATCTATGATAATAGTTTTTCATTTTGTTTTCTGTGGAACTGTCTAATAGTATCAGGTTTTTTTTTTAATTTACTGCTTTGTGCATCAATAAATTCTGTATGCTTGGCTGAACTTCCAAATAAACACTCAGACCAATTAGTTTTGTTGGATGATTTTTGTTTGTCATCATACATAAACAGCCAAAAACATTATTTACTACATGGGGAAGTTATTGACATATGTAGAGGCAAACAGCACATTACGAATTAGAAGTGTCAAATCGTATGTTTGTACTGAACCCTGCTGTACAGCGCAGGAACTTGGACAATGAACTAGCAACTAGATAGTTCTTCTTCTTCTTCTTTTGTTCGCTTTTTTATTTACTCTGACAGACAAGTTCTTATGATAAACTTGACTGTTTAGAGGAGTTCCCTTTTAGTTGTACATAAAACTCTGAGTACAGTTTTGACTCATTGCTCCAGTATTCCCTTCTCAATGGGCTGTACAAGCGACATTCTTCAAGGACATGTTCTGTAGTCTGCACACACAGCCCACAAGTGCACAAAGGTGAATTACTTAGAGGAAGCATATGTTTGTTAGCTAGATAGTGAAATGGAGGATCTAGAAAGGCGGATGTACAGAAGGATAGGTCGTACTGCATACGGGAAAAAAACATTCACATACATAGGTTCTGCAGAGACAAGATAAAAATAATCACGGTAAGAAACAAAAATTGCCTACATTAAAAGACATAACACTGTTGTAAAACAAAGTACAGACTGTGGTACAGCCGGGAGGATAAAAGTCAAGAAAACAGCAGTCTACATCCAGCACAAGAACGGAGGATTGTTTGTTGGCTGCTGAAGAAGGACAGAACACTTGTGGGAATGTGTAGTGATTTTAGTTCTTCATTGATCAGCTAGCTGCTCTAAGAAGATTGTCATCATTGGTTACATGTGGCAGCGGTCTGAACAATTCCTGTTCAGTGAAGAACCCTTTTCCACACCTCAGGCATATAGGGCTAGTCTTATATTTTAAATACCAATTGGCACATGGTGGGTGGTGCGGTCATCGCTAAGCCGGCCGCCTTTATTTTTCAGGACTTAACCTGATACCCATTTAAGACTAAATTGACCCAGCAACCATGGTCATGTTTAAAAAAAAAAAAAAAAAAAAAAGCATTTCACAAAGAGAACAGTTCTAGGTATTGTCAACTGAGGTAAGAATGAGAATTTTCTAGAGCGATATAAATCATGTCCTGATATACTGAAGTGAACCAGGGACAATTATTGGCTATCCTCCGAATAACGGCCCCAAATTATCGAGGCCGAAAATATACCCTAACAGGGCCTCAGTCAAATGTAAATTGCGGCCTTCTTTCTGGCGACTGTACCACCACCGCCGAGAGTATCTCCCGTGGCGCGGAATGGGGCTAAACTAGATGGCTGGGACTCGAGAGCAAATAAAATGAAGGAATGTGCAGGAGATGCGGTAGCTGCTGCTCGTGAGTCCCAGCCATCTAGTTTAGCGGCGCGGGAGATACTTAGCAGTATGCTATGTAGTCGCCGGAAAGAGGTCCGCAATTTTCCTGTGACTAGGCCCTGTTAGGGTGAATTTTCGGCCTTGATACTTTGGGACCGTTTTTCGGAGGATAGCCCAATTATGTGGAAGCGGCGGAGGTGTGGTTTTGAAGACGAAGGACGAGAACACACTAGGGGGAAAAAGTACTGATGTCTTGAGAGAAATTGACTCATAAAGAGAACTGACTGCCTGTCCACATCAGAACGATAGTCTATAAGGAAAAAAAAAACCCATACATTTCTAATGGTGCTTTTCTGTTTAAATAAGAAACGCAAGGCTAAAGGAACATAGTATTGACATTTATATCTAAATAAGGTGAATGTTGAATTAAGAATCGACATAATGGCATTTAGGACATTCCCATAAGCATTCCGTCCCATCTTCAGCAGCAACAAAAGAGTTAAAATTCCCATGGTTTCAGTTACAGTCTGATTGTACATCGGTCTCGCCTTTCCCTTGAGAGTCGGCCAGATCTTAGTGAGTGAAATAGTTCAAATTGCTGACAAGAATACATTAGGGTTCAGACAGTTGAGCCAAGAATTGACATTCCCATGCATGCTCGTCCTCATCTTCAGCAGCCAGCGCCGAGTTCTAATACCGGTGGTACCGGTCACAATCTGGTTATGTGTCCGTCTTGCCTTTCCTCTGAGTATATTGAGCTGGCCAGACCCTCTGGTTACACCCAGATGTCTCATTCTCTCCAGGCCATAATAATCTTATATCTCTACTGATTCCGTTGCTTGTTCCCAAAGGGCCTTGACCACATCTGCCTTGTCATGTATCAATTCACCGCACAGTGGTGCAGATCCAGTCAGTCTGTCTGCCTGTTCATTACCCACCACGCTGGCATAGCCTGAAGAAAAGATCTAAAGTATTAGGGTTCAGACAATCAGTTGACAATTCTTTTTACCAAGACAGATGTGCACGCAACACTCAGATTCTGGAACAAGACTAAACAGGTTCTGGAACCACACTAAACAGGTTCTGGAACAAGACTAAACAAGTTCTGGAACCACACTAAACAGGTTCTGGAACCACACTAAACAGGTTCTGGAACAAGACTAAACAAGTTCTGGAACCACACTAAACAGGTTCTGGAACCACACTAAACAGGTTCTGGAACAAGACTAAACAGGTTCTGGAACCACACTAAACAGGTTCTGGAACAAGACTAAACAGGTTCTGGAACAAGACTAAACAGGTTCTGGAACCACACTAAACAGGTTCTGGAACAAGACTAAACAAGTTCTGGAACAAGACTAAACAGGTTCTGGAACAAGACTAAACAAGTTCTGGAACAAGACTAAACAGGTTCTGGAACAAGACTAAACAAGTTCTGGAACAAGACTAAACAAGTTCTGGAACAAGACTAAACAAGTTCTGGAACAAGACTAAACAGGTTCTGGAACCACACTAAACAGGTTCTGGAACAAGACTAAACAGGTTCTGGAACAAGACTAAACAGGTTCTGGAACCACACTAAACAGGTTCTGGAACAAGACTAAACAGGTTCTGGAACAAGACTAAACAGGTTCTGGAACAAGACTAAACAGGTTCTGGAACAAGACTAAACAAGTTCTGGAACAAGACTAAACAGGTTCTGGAACAAG